CGCAGGCCCCCGGGAAGAGCACGAGGTCGCCGGGGGACGCGTCGACGGCGACGGCGGACGCCGCCCCGAAGAGGTCGACGTCCGCGCGGTAGGTCGCCGCCGCGCCGCCCGGGACGAACCCCTCGAAGAGCGGCGCCGCGGTTCCGCCGCGGAGCTCGCCGTCGAGGAACCGCCAGGCCTCGGCGCCGGCGCAGCGGAGGCTCCAGCCGACGCCGGCGTAGGGGTCCCGGCGCGCCGGCACGGCCCCGGCGTCGATTTCGAGCGCCGGCGGCCGCAGCGGCTCCGGGAACGCGGTCTCGAAGACGTTGCCGCCGCCGGGGAACGACGCGGGCCGGCACGCGTCGACGGGGAGGGACCGCAGCAGCTCCGCGGCGAGGCGCGGCGTCAGGTCACCCGCGGCCGCGCAGCGCGCCGCGCCGACGGCGCCCCGGACGACCGCGGGCAATCGGAGCGCGACCTGGGCAGCAAAAGGGTGATTCAACGTCGCTTCAACGTGAGTGTTCCGCGCGCGCGCGTTCCGGAAAACGCATCCACGCTTCGAGACCCTTCCGAGAGATGATCGCTTGTCCAAAAATCAGACGAAACGAGTGGAATACGGCCGAGATATGAGCCTTTGAAGTTGGGAATTTCGCTCTCTTTTGCTGCCCTGTGCGCGACAACCGCGATCACGGCGCCGGCCGAGAGCTCGGCCCGCGGCGCCGCGCCGTCGAGGATCGCCGCGCGCGGCGCCGCGCACCGGGCGGCGAGCTCCACGGGCGCCAGCAGGTCCCGCCGCGACAGCACGTGCGCGCCGACCGTCGTCGCCATGTCCAGCGCGCGCCCGCCGCGCGTCGCGAGGCACGCGACGCGCTCGCAGCCCGCGGCCTCGACGGCCGACGCCAGCCAGCGCAGGGTCGCCGCCATCGGCGCCTCGACGGTCACGGACACGAGCGCGCCGTGCCCGTCGACGTAGCGCACGGAGATGGGCTTGGGGGCTGCCATCGTGTGAGAGCCCTCCGGATCCTTCAATGACAATGACAATGTCGGCTTCAACATGAGGCGCGCTCGATATGCAGCGCGCGAGCACATCTCGGAAGACTGCCGCCCCACCTCGCCGTGCTTAGTGCTCTCGCTCGAAGTGGTGCTGGTCTTTGCCGTTGATCCGGTGGTGCTCGAAGCGGTGCAAGAGCAAGTACACGGACGCAAGCGATGTCTCCAGCATAGGCGCGTGCCCCCTGGCCTGTGGCGAGTGTTGAAATGGGCGCGATAGCGAAGCTCAGGAATCTCGCAAGCCTCTTGACATCGCGCGCCCGCAATTCACCCATGAGCCCGTATAAAACCCACTCCTACTTTTACTGGGGTTGCGTGGAGTCTCTTCGTCGACGACGGCGTGGCGGCGTATGTTACAGGCGACGCGGTCGCGCCCACCCGCGCCCGCGCGCCCTATCGGTTCTTGAGCATGGACCCGAGGAAGATCTGCTTGAAGGTCACGGCGAGGCGCTCGGTCTGGTCGGCGATGAACGCGTGGCCCGGCGCGAGGCCCCTGACGATGGCCGCGGCCTCGTCCTCGTTGGACGAGATGAGGACGACGTAGGCCTGGACCTCCGGGTGCCTCGCCATGAGGATGGCGTTCCAGGCCTCGGGCGTGATGCCGTAGCGCTTGAGGTCCGCGTCGGAGACGACGAAGACGAAGCGCTCGTCGGCGTCGCCCGCCGCGGCGTCGTCGACCGCGAGGCGCGTCGCCTCGAGCGTCGAGTCGCCGGAGTGGGCGAACTGGGCGTGCGCCGCGAGCCGGCGGGCGATGGCGAGGCGCTCGGCGTCCGTCGCCACGGGCCGGCCGAACTCGACGAGGCGCTCGGCCTCGGGGCCCGTGCCCGAGTGGCCGACGACGGCCAGGTCGTACTTCGCCTCGAAGCCCGCGAAGGCCTGGGCAGCAAAAGGGTGATTCAACGTCGCTTCAACATGAGTGTCTCGCGCGCGCGCGTTCCGGAAAAAGCATCCACGCTTCGAGACCGTTCCGAGAGATGATCGCTCGTCCAAGAATTAGCCAAAACGAGTGGAAAACGGCCGAGATAGGAGCCCTTGAAGTTGGGAATGTCGCTCTCTTGTGCTGCCCTGGCGAAGGCCTCGAGGATGAACACGGCGGCCTCCTGGAGGCGCCGCAGGCGGTCGTCGATGCGGTTGAACGTGTACATGGAGCCCGAGATGTCGAGGACGAACTTGATCCGCTTCGGCGTCTTCGGGCGGAGGAGCGCGCCCGCGTCGGCCTCGACGCCGCGCCGCCGGTAGACGTCCGGCGCGCCCGCGACGCCGTCGACGAGGCGCGCCTCGTCGAGCTCGCCCTGGGTCTGGTGCCGGAGCCAGGACCGCTCCTGCTCGCGGGCCTCGTGCGACTCCAGGACCGTCCGGAGCTGCGAGACCTGGGAGGCGACCGCGGCCTTGAGGGACGCGTACTCGCCGGCGTCGTGGCCCGCGAGCTCGAGCTCCGCGAGCCGGTGCGCGTAGGCCTCGTCGGCCATCTTCTTCGCCTCGTCGTAGAAGTCGCCCGGCAGCGCGCCCTTCTCCTCCTCGGACAGCATGCGCAGCTCCTGCCCGACGTCGAGGCGGTAGGGCCCCGCGCGGCCGCCGATGCCCGCGGTGCCGGAGCCGCCCGTGCCGCCGTCCCAGGGCCCCTCGCCGATGTGCTGGCGGCCGTCCCAGTTCCCCGACGTCGGCCGGTTGATCTTCCCGGACCGGTCCGTCGCGTCGCTGTAGTTCTTCGTGCCGACGTCGCCCATCGCCGCCCTGCCGGGCGCGAACGCGCCGCTGTTGAGGTGCTCGGCCTTGAACTGCGTGTTCTCGAGCTTCGCGCGACGCGGGTTCCCGTGCGCGAAGGGCGTCGGCCCGTTCGACGGCCGCCAGGCGAGCCCGCGGCCCCGCACCGCGCCCGACAGCGTCTCCGCGAGGCGCGGGTCGAACGCGTCGAAGGCGAAGACGTTGCTCACGACGCTCTCGACGTCGTCGTCGGGAAACGCCTCCAGGTGGGCGACGAGCTTCACGAGCTCGCGCGTGCTGTACGGATAGGCGATGGACCCCTCGTCGTTGAGGTCCCGCAGCTTCGTGAAGAGGAGCAGCAGGCTCTTGAGCGCCTCCGGCGGCACGTTGGGCCCGTAGTTGCGCAGCAGCTCGAGCTCCGACTCGAGGTCCGGCGTCGCGACGACGAGCGTCGCGAAGACGTCGCCGCACTCGCGGTAGAAGTCGTTGCCCAGGAAGGGGAAGCCCGGCCGGTTCGCGAGGACGACCATGCGGAAGTCGGCGTGGATGGGCACGACGTCGTCGCCGCGGTCCGCCGCGTCGCCCGCGCGGAGCAGCGTCCGGCCGTCCGCGAGCGCGAGCTCGCCGTCCTCCGCGAGGGCCTTGAGCACGCACACGACCTCCAGGGGCGCCTTGTCCGCCTCGTCGACGACGAGCACGCGGCCCGACCGCGCCGCGGCGACGAGGGGCGAGTCCGCCCAGACGACGACGCCGTCGCGGAGCGTCGGCGCGAGCGTGAGCGCCTGGGCAGCAAAAGGGTGATTCAACGTCGCTTCACCGTGAGTGTGCCGCGCGCGCGCGTTCCTGAAAAAGCATCCACGCTTCGAGACTGTTCCGAGAGACGATCGCTCGTCCAAAAATCAGCCAAAACGAGTGGAAAACGGCCGAGATATGAGCCTTTGAAGTTGGGAATGTCGCACTCTTTTGCTGCCCTGGTGAGCGCCTGCACCGTCGTGTCGCGGTGCAGCTGGACGTACTCGCGCTCCGCGTCCAGCAGCTCGAGGAGCCTGTCCGCGAGCTTGTTCTTGCCGACGCCCTGGTTGCCGATGAGGAGGAGGTGGTGGTCCAGGGACCACTCGAGGAGCAGGTCGCGCAGCGCGAGGACGTGGCGCGGGATGGACACGAAGTGGACGCTCGGCACGAGGCGCCGGTCCTCGGCCCGGCGCGTCGGCACCTCGACGTCGCCGATGCGCAGCGTCCCGCGCCGGACCGTCGCTTCCAGGACCCCCGCCGGCGCCGGGGGCGGCCGGACGTCCCCGGGCGCGTCGGCCGCGGCCTCGGGCGCGATCGCGCCGCCGGACGAGAAGAAGAGCCTGTGTGGAATTCAATCACTGGTTTGGGTGGTCCTGACCAAACTTCAGAATTCTCTAGCTCGGTCAAATCGAAGTCGATTTGGCTGATTTTTGGACGAATCAATTGCTCTCGTCGATTTCTCGAAGCATAGAAGAAGAGCTCGCGTCGACCGTCGCATACGCTCACATTGAAGTCGGGTTGAAGATTTGATTTCCACACGGAAGAAGAGCGTGATGTCGTGCGCGGACCAGCGCGCCGCGGCCTCGGGCGGCGCCACGACGGCCCCGCGCGCGGCCTCCTCGCCGCGGCGGACGAGCTCCCGCTCCTCGGCGCGCGGGTCCGGCGGCGGCGCCGCCGCCGCGCGCGCGCCCGCGG